TGCAGAGGTGAGGGGCTGTCGGCGTGGCTGCCTCCTCCCCGCGGTACCGGTGGGGCTGCACGCAGGGGAGAGAGGGCGGGCTGGGGGCGACAGGGGCGCGGGACTGGCGGGGGGAACGGCGGGCTTCCCCCAGTCTTCCGGGCAGCGCGCGCTTGCTGGCGCTCTGTCTCCGGGAGACGAGGGCTTGGATGCGGAGCTGCAGTTGGGAACTCAGTTACTTGCCAGCGACTTCGGATGCCCGGGTGCCGGCCTGCTGGGGGGTGGGGAGGGGGACCAGAGCTGCGGGTGTCCCTTCGCTGCTCATTGACATCGGAATCTCAGCCGCGGGATTAACGTATGACTCGTGCCTGTAGGAATGTGTTTGACACTTGCCTTTACGCCAGGAACTATTTTTGCCAAGGGACAATTTTCTTATGGGACAGGAGCGCTCGGATCTCTGCCTGGGCTTTCTCAGGCCAGCGTGGATTTACAGCTCTGAACTGGAGCTCGTTAATTAACCAAGAACTCTCCTTGTACCCAATTAGGACTGTATTTAATTATTCTGCTAATTTTAATGTTGTTGAGACATTCAGGAAGTAACCGATTTCTCCCCAAGCAGCCTACAAAACAGGAGGGTGAGAAAGATCACAACTGTGTGGCCTCTCCTGAGAAAGAAATCGCGACCTTCCTAGCCAGAGCAGCCGTCCCTAGCACCGCTCACCTCACCCCAACACTGCAGCTGGGAGAGTAGGGGGAGGAAAGCCGGGTGTGGCTGGAAGTGAGGACAGAGCCCTCTCTGTGACATTTGCTCTTTTGTAAAGCCCACCTATTGAGTCTAGCCTTCACCCCCCATTTACAGTGCTGGGGGGGGGGTCCTCCTCCACCCAAAATCCCCATAAACCTTTGAGTACGGGTGAATAAACTTCATCCAAGCGACCCTTCATCATCCTCTGTGACATCCACACAACACAGCCCGGACAAATGCTCTCTACTGCTAGGAAAACTAATTAAATCTGCAGGACCTTAATGCAGGTCATTAAGGTTCCTAATCCCAGCATTAGAGCCTCTCGGTCCCTGCGTTAATTAGGACAGCCTGGACATACTGGTGTCCAGCGCTGCAAGGCAGACTCAGGGCACCCGGGACCCTCCAAGCCTGGTTCCCAAGATTCAGAAGCAAGGCTGGGAACTGAAGGAAGGGGGCATTGGAGAGGGGAGGAAGCCGGAAATGGCCTTCGGGAATCTGAGTGGGTGGGTTTGCTTCTTTCTCCGTGCAGGGTTTCCAGCAGGATTTCTTGGAGTCCGTTTCCGGTCGGGGTGGAATGTGGGGGACTGGGCGGTGTTTATCCGAAGCCCCTGCAGCTGCCTCCTTGAGTCCAGATGTGCGGTAGCCGCGCTTCCCTACTGGGTGATTCTCCCAGGGGTCTTTCCCAGCTTTGTTTGTGAATTGCCTTGGCTGTCCCACCCGCTGTGGTGCAGGGGAGGGGACTGGTGCCTCCCGCCTGGGGACTGGAAGACTAGGAGCCCTCGGCTAGAGGCAAAATGTCCGATTCACCAAAGCAGCATAAAAGGGACAGGCAGTGGGGGGGAGAAGGGGGTGACTCTTTGCCATCTCTCATTCTCCTCCTTCCTCTTTCCTGGATCTGAAACACCTGCAGATGGAAAACGGTCTCAAGTCTGAGGAACAGGGTGGGGGCTGGGCACACTGATGGAGACTGAGATGCTGAGCCATCACCTTGGGACCCTACCCTCTTCCACCACCCCGACCACCCCCAAGCTAGCTCTGAAAAGAGAGATGGGGGTCTCCACCTGGCCTGCAGGCATCCATTCAGAAGCTGAGTGAAAAGCTAAGGCCTCGGTTGAACCTGAGTGCTTGCCGGGAGCCCCAGGACTCAATAGGGAGAGGTTTGCCCAACAGCAACCCTGAGAAGGGCGGGGTGAGGCCAGGAGGCCATGCACAGCAGGGAACCGCTGCCTCCCTCCCAGGGAAACCAGTTTCTCTGGTCTCACCGACTCACTACAGCTGAAGGGCTGCCGGGAGAGAACTTGGCTCTCCCTGCTGCCCGAGTAGCTCCACTCTGAAGCTCCAGGGCTGAACCCCTGTGGAGATTCTCTCGTCCAGGGGCCTTGCCCAGTGGTATGTAGAAAACTGAAAATTATAGTAAGGAAAAAAGAGAGATGAGGTGAGAAGGAAGAATGGCGGCCAGTACGTTTATAACTGCCTTTTTTTGAAAGTGAAAAGCGACCCAGTATGAGGTAGTGGCTTGCATGCGTCTGCAGGGTGATAAATCATGGACATCACCCTGTAAGGAGTTTTGGGATTGCCTTGGCCAGTTAGACTGTCCTCTGGCCTGAACAAATAGGTCAGTTCTGGAGACGTCTTCAGGAGTTAAAACTTTTGAAGAACAATTTGTTGGGCCTAGAGGTGCAGATACCTCCCACGGAGCAGTTCCTGGGTTCCACACCTGGCTCCACTCCAATTCCAGCTTCCTGCTGATGTGCACCCTGGGAGGCAGAAGGTGATGGCTTAAGTACTTGGGTCCCTGCCACCCATGTGGGAGACCTAGATTAAGTTTCTAAGTTTCTAACCTTCTGCTGCAGCCCTAGGTGTTGTAGCCATTTGGGGAGTGAACCAGCAGATAGGAGATCCCTCTCTTTCTCTCTGTTTCTCTCTCCTTGTAATTAAATAATTTAGGAAAAAAAAAGAAACTTGTTTCACAGAGACAAAAAGGATTTCACATTACCATGGAAGTTGCTAAGTTATGTGTTGCCCTGGAATTTGTGACTTCTTATATCCAGGAACCTGGAGATTTTTCTGACCTTTAAGGGCAAAGCAATTTTAGAGTCTTTAATTTTGTAGTCACCTTGTAATTATCACTGGATATGTAGACAAAGTACCACCTTGAGTGCTTTTTCTCCTTACTGTGCTTCTCTGCTTCTCTGTCGCATGGATTTTATGTCTACTTATTTACTGCGGTATCCGTGTCCTGCACGGCAGCCCCTGTGCCAGTGTGTCTTTCCTTCGAGACTGACATGGTTCAGCAGGGTGAGCATCCCAGAGGGGAGGAGTAGGGGTTGGTGACTTACCCAAGCTGGAAGGTTCACTGGGAGGTGTTCCCAGGGTCCTTTTTTTATTATTAAATATTTGTTTATTTATTTGAAAGGCAGAGTTACAGAGAGGCAAAGGCAGAGGCAAAGAGAGAGAGAGAGGGAGGGAGAGAGACCTTCCATCCGCTGGTTTACTCCCCAGATGGCCACAATGGCCAGAGCTGTGCCAATCCAAAGCTAGGAGCCAGGAGCTTCCTCTGGGTGTCCCACGCAGGTGCAGGGGCCCAAGGACTTGGGCCATCCTGCACTGCTTTCCCAGGCCATAGCAAGAGCTGGATTGGAAGTGCAGCAGCTGGGACTGGAACCAGTGCCCACAAGGGATGCGGCGCTGCAGGTGGTGGCTTTATCCACTATGCCACAGTACCGGCCCCTCCCAGGTCCTTTCACAGCATTGGTAGTTAGGTTCCTGCCTGACTCTGTGCCATGGAGGTGTGGGTAAGGGTTGTGGGTGTTCAAAGGGTATCAAAAGCCATCCTCATGTATAATTCTCTCTTCTTCTCCTACCTTTTCTCAGAATCCTTCACTAGGAACATAATAATTAGATGTGAATGTTTCTTTCTTGACCTTAAATTAATACTGCTGGACCGGCGCTGCAGCTCACTTGGCTAATCCTCCCCCTGCAGCGCCGGCACCCTGGGTTCTAGTCCCGGTTGGGGTGCCGGATTCTGTCCCGGTTGCTCCTCTTCCAGTCCAGCTCTCTGCTGTGGCCCAGGAAGGCAGTGGAGGATGGCCCAAGTGTTTGGGCCCTGCACCCGCATGGGAGACCAGGAGAGGCACCTGGCTCCTGGCTTCAGATCGTCGCAGCACACAGGCCACAGCGCACCGGCCATAGCAGCCATTTGGGGAGTGAACCAACGGAAGGAAGACCTTTGTCTCTCTCTCTCTCTCTCTCTCTCTCACTGTCTAACTCTGCCTGTCAAAAAAAATTAATACTGCTTATGTTATAAATGGAATTTAATTTGTGAAGCCATGATACCACATTCCTTCAGAAAGTACAGGTAACCTGCAAAAGGCACCCTGTGACATTCACTATTGCTGACTTTAAGTCACCACCCAAGGGACAAAATCCTTGGGACCTCGACGCATATGCTTTTATTTCTTCATCTTCCAGAAAGTGGCTTTACCACGGAGATAGCGTAATTGACCATTTAGTACGTATGCGTTTTGCCAGTGTCACTGCTGGTTTTCTTTGCCCCCTGGGGATATAACCTGATCTGGGCAGGTGTGCCTCACCCACACACTGTCCCCAACTCATATCCTGTGCTCCTTTCCCATATCTGATTCTCCGACATAGAAAGTAGTAACATGATAATTCATTACCCAGATAGCAGCACTGACTGCCTGGCAGACACAGGGCTGTATGATTTGTGTGGGGTGAGGCAGGCATGGGAAGCTGTGTCCTTGGATCGCTGACAAGCTTGTACACGTGTTGCCCCGATAGGTCCATGGGCTATGTACTTTCAAGTCCTACCTTTGCAATATCATAAAAATTCAGACTCTTTTTTTTTTCAATGCAAGATAACTTAAAAAGCCAACAACAACAACAAAACCACACATGACCGTTGGGCATTTTACTCCTGACCCAGGCCAGGGATGCCATGGGCGTGCCATGCTGGAGCAGTGTTATTAGTGTTCTGGTTTGTTGTAATCCTTTTGAGAACCTGGATACTAATCTCTCCTGCCCTAAAAGCATGCCCCATCTGTTAGAAGTGCTGCTTCCCCTTGGTGAGTGAAGGAGCGCACAGCCTGCCTGTTCTTGACACAAACTCTAGGCTTTCCCTGCAGGAGGGCTCTGAAGAAGCCGGGGGTCTGAAGCCTGAGTGAGCTTCTCAAGCAGAAGGACCCACATCCTGGAAAGCTGGGGCCTCAGGGACCACCTCATCACATCACCTCCTTCCCCACGGGAGGGGCCATCTCATCACATCACCTCCTTCCCCACGGGAGGAGTCTTAGGGACCACCTCATCACATCACCTCCTTCCCCACGGGAGGAGCCTCAGGGACCACCTCATCACATCACCTCCTTCCCCACAGGAGGAGTCTCAGGGACCATATCATCACAGCACCTCCTTCCCCACGGGAGGGGCCTCAGAGATCATCACATCACCTCCTTCCCCACAGGAGGGGCCTCAGGACCACTTCATCACATCACCTCCTTCCCCACGGGAGGGGTCTCAGGGACCACCTCATCACGTCACCTCCTTCCCCACGGGAGGGGCCTCAGGGACCACCTCATCACATCACCTCCTTCCCCACAGGAGGGGCCTCAGGGACCACCTCATCACATCACCTCCTTCCCCACAGGAGGGGTCTCAGGGACCACCTCATCACATCACCTCCTTCCCCACGGGAGGGGTCTCAGGGACCACCTCATCACATCACCTCCTTCCCCACAGGAGGAGTCTCAGGGACCACCTCATCACATCACCTCCTTCCCCACGGGAGGGGTCTCAGGGACCACCTCATCACATCATCTTCTTCCCCACGGGAGGGGCCTCAGGGACCACCTCATCACATCACCTCCTTCCCCACAGGAGGGGTCTCAGGGACCACCTCATCACATCACCTCCTTCCCCACGGGAGGGAGCCGTTCTGTGGCAGGATTGGAACCGGCCCTCTGCCAGGGCTCTTCCCTTGCTGCACCCCACTGTTCCTGCACAGGTGGCTTCAGAGGTGGGGCTGACCCGACAGAGAAGGGCCGACCTCGTGTCCACGCTGCAGTGTGGGTGTTGACGGGGCGGTGATGTGGTCTTGGGGTGCCTGCACCGCCTGGAGCTGTGTTGGAACTGGGCCTGCCTGGTCTGCTTTGCGGGACTCTTCCGTCCCAAGACCACAGGAGGCAGCACACACACTAGAGCCGCTTGTGCATTCTTGTTAATAGCTGTGTGTGTGTTTCCTCCTGTTTCAGTTCTTTTTTAAAAAAAGATTTATTTTTTATTTGAAAGAGTTATAGAGAAAGAGGGAGAGACATAGAGAAGAGAGATGTTCCATCCTCTGGTTCACTCCCCAGTTTGCTGCAAACTGGGCTGGCCCAGGCCAAAGCCCCAAGCTTCATCTGGTCTCCTACATGGGTGAAGGGGCCTAATCACTTGGACCATCTTCTGCTGCTTTCCCCAAGCCCTTAGCAGGGAGCTGGATTGGAAGTGGAGCAGCCTGGACACAAACCAGCACCCATGTGGGATGCCGGCATCACAGGCTACAGCTTTACCTGCTACACCACAATGCCAGCCCCTTCTGATTCATTTAATTCAGAAGGTCCCTTTCCCCCTTTCTCTGTTATTCCTGTACTGAAATAAATCAGTGAAATGCATTCCTATCGTTCCATCTTTGCACACCTCTCATTTTTATGTAACATGGTGTTTTAATTCACTTGGCGATGTTCAGGTGCCAGTGACATGCCAGCCCTGTGCTGAGTACCTGGGAGAATGGCTGGGCATCAAAATGATGCTTACCCCACTGGGTGGCTGGGAGGAGTGGTTAAGATAGTGTACAGAGCTCAGCATGGCCCAAGCATAGAAAGGTCTGCTATTAATGATAATAGTATTTATAACACTGTAGACACAGACTCCCTTCCCCATAGGATTCGCTGGATCCACTAGGTGGTACCGCTGTAATCTTAAATTCCTCAGCATTTTCTGGTCTTGGCCCAACCCATTGTCACTGTGGCTCAGTGCTCTGGAGTTGTTGCCATGGGGAAAGAAAGCTTGTCCTCTCCTTTCTTTTTTTAAATATTTATTTTAAAAGACAGTTACAGAAAGGCAGAGGCAGAGGGATTTTCTATCCGCTGGTTCACTCTCCAAATGGCAGCAATGGCCAGAGCTGCGCCAATCTGATGCCAGGAGCCAGAGCTTCTTCTGGGTCTTCCATGTGGGTTCAGGGGCCCAAAGACTTGGGCCATCCTTCACTGCTTTCCTAGGCCATAGCAAAGAGCTGGATTGGAAGTGGAGCAGCCGGGACTCAAACTGGTGCCCATATGGGATGCTATCCCTGCAGGCAGCAGCTTTACCTACTACACCACCATGCCAGCCCCTCACCCAATACATTTGCCATGTTTCCTTTTATTTTCTTTCTACTTATAAGGAAACCCAGGACATTTACGTGAAACAAAGTAAAAACATTCAACCAATCAAACTGTCCTCTCCTTTTTAAAATTTTGTTAATCCAGTAAAAAATGTGTAACACTTCTAATGGTCTCCTCACTGTGTACCACAGACAAGAAGCTTCAGTAAATGATATGGCAGGACACCTAAGCATCCCCAAATGATCCTTCTCTTGGGGAATCGGGAGAATCAGCTTGAAGTTCCATCCCGAGAGCCCATGTGGTACAAACAGAAGAGGCAAATCCCTCACGTAGCCTGCACCTTGACTTCGCCTAGCAGTCTGGTTAGAAACAATCTTCTGTCATGGTGCAGCCAACACTCACTGCACATCATTTACGTGTCAGGCTTGGCTGGTTCTTCATCAGGCTGCCTTTGCTTACACAAAAGTCACCACCCACCGCCCACAGGCCGTTATCCCAACCCCGAGGATGCAGACATTTGGCTGAGATTGGCCCCGTATCTTCAGTATCCCATGCAGACGAGGGGCACAGATGGTTTGGCTCCCTGCCTGGTCTAGTCCGTGACTAATGGAGGCTGTCTTCTCACCTGTTGAGGTCAGCAAACCTTCTATATTATATATTATACTTCCTGGAAGGAGGGGAGTGCTGGCTACACCTGCAAGGCAGCTGAGAGGCTGCCAGGTGGCTTGTGCCAAGTAAAAGAGCAAAGATCAGAGTTATGGAGCTGGTTGCTCCACATTCTTCTGGCTTTCCTACAGAAAGGAAGGGAGAGCCCACGTGCTGCTGGGTAGCTACAGCCCAGGCAACTGCTGCTCCCCGAGCTGGGTAGCCATGCACATGTGTTCTTTTCTAATGCCAGCTGATGTGTGATAGGCCCTCAGATCATCCTCAGCTTCTCCTCTCCCTCCCTAGGAATCTAAATATTGCTCCCATCTACAAAGGGGTGTTTCCCACCCCCAACACACAAAGGCAGACTGAGGCTTGCAGCCAAAAAGAATCACAAGGACTCCACGTGTGCTCCAAGCTCACACCTGTGTGTTGCTCTTGTCTTCTCTCTTTCCTCGCCGACCGAATGACTTAGAGCATAAGTTGCCATGGTGTGCTAATCCAGGAAACTGGCAGAAATGCAGATTCACAGGCCCCATGGACCAGAGCTTTCCGGGGTGGGAGGGTCTGGCCCTCCCGCTGGTTCTAGGGCTGGTTCTGGGGCATGCTCAAGTGTGAGCCCACAGAGGTGGTCCCGCTGGCTGGGAGTCAAAGGGGAGATTCTCTGCAGGCTTTCCAATTTCTTTTTCATTTGTTCTCTGCTTTCTCTACCTTTCCTTCCCCAGCTCCAGCAGAAGCATTCTGTAAGGAAGGGTTGCCTGCCCCTCTGGGGAACCCTTACTTTGAAAAGCTGCAGAGGCCCCTCTGCCGCCCACTTTCCCCAGGCTGGGGCTGGGAGTAGGAGTCGGGAATTTCTGCCTGGAGGCTGCTGCATCTTCTCTGCTCACTGGAGATTATGTTGCTTTCACTTTGTTTTCCTCATTACTCTTAACACTCCTCACAGAACAAATCCAAAGTTAGGCAAACACAAAGACTGAAATAGCATAATCCTAACCACTCAGAGACAACCACTCCTGAACCACTCACCGGCTCCTGTTCTGTTGTATATAAATGGGTTGGTACTTTATATGCTTTCTACTGTGCTCTTATTAATCTTCTGAGCATCCTTCCATGTAGATACATTTCCAGGATGTTTCTCATGTCTGTAAAGTGTTTCCTCGCAGACCAGACTTGAACTTGACAACTGTTAGTATTGGTTTCACTTAGTGGTTAAATGTTGGTGGGAGGGTAAAAGGAGGCGTCTGGGATTAGGAAGTAGATCTGTCCAGGGTCAGACGGTACAGACAGGCCGATTCTTGTCTGGGTGTTTGCACACCTCTGCTCCCACTGCCTGCCTGTCCTATCTTAGGGTGTCTGATTTCCCACTTGCCCCTTTCTTCCTTAGAAGAGCGGTGTGCACTGGGGCTGGAGCTGGGGGCTTGCCTCTCTTGCACATGTGGTGTGAGGACTTCTCAATCCACAGCCTTCCTCGTGCAGCCGATCTCAGTGAGCAGGTTCAGAGTTTTTCTCTGTTTTTCTCCTTTTCTGAGACATACCTTGAGAGGGATTTCATTTTTAAGTTATTGTAACTGGGAAACAGAGCCTTGATTAATTTTTTCTGTCTAGAAAAATCATGTGAGTAAAAAAAACTTAAATATACAGATAAACAAAGACACCATTCCATCACCTAGAGACAACTAGAATTAACACTTTGATTTTTTCCTTTCCTTCTTGTGTGTGTGTGTATATTTTTCTCAGAAATATGATATACAAGTATCATAAACTTTTTTCACTGAACATATTGAATCACTTCTACAATGCTCTTATGATGCATTTGGTGTAATATTGTGGAGCCAGGTCAGGCCAGGGAGAGGTTTGCTAAGTATTCAGGATTTTTAGAGCAGATTATTAAACCTTTGCTAGCTTGAGATCTGCCACGGTGGTGATATTTATACTAGAGAAGTTTCCAGATACCTCGATGCAGAGGTTTTTGTTTTGTTCAGAGAGAGTTTATCAGCACACAACTAGATGCACATTTTACCATGTGTAGGCATGACTTGTTTTTATTTAAACAATCTTCCTGTTTTCAGGTCTCTAATTTTTGCCATTATAACCAATATTGTAATGACCATTCTCATGGTAATCTTGACACATATCTGTAATTAGTTATTGAAGAAAAGTTCCTAGAAAAGGAGTTCCTGAATTAAAAGGCATTTAGGGTTTCAAGTTTCTGGTCACTCCTGGTCTGAGCCCTTTGGAAGGAGTGTGCTGTTTTGTTTTAGGAAGTTTTATGAGAGACATTTCCTGTGGCTAGGAATTTCCAGTCTCTCCTGCTGTTTGCCTCTGCTTACGTTGCCTAGGTTAACTTAATTCTCTTTATAAAAGGAAGTAAGCTGGTTGACACTATGCTAAGCTATGTACTGATGTACATGATGTAAAGAATATATCTTATGGTTGTTCTGGATTTAGAGCAATATGTCATGAAAATGAAGAGCTTAGACTCAGGAGCCAAAATGAATTTGAATCCCAGTTTTGCTGCTTACCTGTTGTGACCTTGTGCAGGTTACAGAAGCTCTTTGCCTGAGTTTTCTCATCTGGCAAACAGAGATGGCGTGGGGTCTATTCGTGGGGTTTTTGGTTAGCTGTGTTCACATATGTAAATCTCTTAGACCTGGCATATGGTAAGTGCTAGGGAAGGAAGGGATTATTATCATCACTATGAGGACCTAGAAGTGTTTGTGGACCTGTGCCAACTGTCCCATTCAAATGGTTTCATTAGTTTCTTAATCATATTAGAAACTGAACAATGTCCAGATATGTGAGTGCTGTCTCTCGGATATTGGGCCAGTGGTCATAGAACATTATAGATGCTTCCCTGCCTCCAGGGATCTTGAAGCCCAACTTGGGAGCTGCTCCATAAGTGTGAAGTGGTAATAATACATAAACAAAAAAGAAGTAGAGCAGTTGCTAAAAACAGTAAGAGCACCACTGCTCGAGGACCTTACATGATTGCTGGCTAAAGCAGTTACGTGTTGGGAGCAGAGTGGGATGGCGTCATCAGGAGAACTT